GACAGCCCATACAAAGCAAAGCACACCGACTTCGAAAATATTTGATTAGGTATGTATAGTAAATAAAAACTACCAATCAGTTATTTTTTACTATTTAGTGCTTTTGTTTGAAGTCGGTTTTTATTTTTTTGTTAACAAGTTTTTATTTTTCCCTTTTTAGTGTAGACAGTAGTAGCAAAGTAAGAATTCTAAAGTGTTAGGCTTGTCAAAGCAAACAAAATAAGCCCAAACTCAATGTATCTACTATTAGTCGTTGAAGAGTTCCACCTATCCACCTTCTGGCCTTACCATCAGATCAGGTCAACAATACCGAACCACTGTACTATCAACAGAAATAGAAACACTTGCAAAGTTTCAAGTCAATATGACAATTAGAAGTAGGTTAAATTCATTATTAGCTATTTTTCCACCCTTAGGGGTGGCATTTTTTTTTTGAAATTTAAATGGGACCAATCTGGAAGTATACCCTTTCAAACAAAACAAAAATTGTCCAAATCGGTTAATAAATGACGAAGTTCTGAGGTAACAAACATAAAAAAAATACAGTCGAATTGATAACCTCCTCCTTTTTGAAGTCGGTTGAAAATATTACTAGTGCGTAAGAATTTAAATAATTACCTATGTAAAAAACAGTGATAGACACACAATAAACACTAGGAATAGAAATAAGCTTGTTAGCTTAGATTTCGACTCCAAAAGGTGAATAAATCGTCCATGGAGTATACGCATATATAATAAGAGTCCACAGAATGTCATAGATTTACCTTTTCAAAAATTTAAATATAAAAATATTTTATTGAGCAAAGAGTATTATACTGTTCAAGAGTTTCTTGTTGATAAAAATGTGTGGAATTGAGTGATATTGACTCATATGCGGTCTATCTATGTATAATATTATGTTAATAAAATAAATGTAACCTCGATATTTAAAAGAGCAACTGTTGAGTTTCTCACCATTTCTTCTTAGCAGAACTGCTTTCCGATGGTAGCTTCCTCACGGACTGACTACCACTACACTGACGCTTTTATAAAATTGACTATTCAAAAGTACTAGTAATAAGTCTAATTGAATAAAGTTTATTTCATTTCATTATACGACGGCTATTAGAAAATTGTCCAGCAGAGAATTAACAATGATTGCCATTATTTTAAACGAGGAAGAAAGAGTAAAGAATAATATCAAGACGTTACTGAGATCACGCCGCTTAAAAAAAATATAATTCAAAAGAAAATATTATCACTAGAAGACAAGCAGCAAAACGTTCATAACGAGTTTAGAACGGTCATTCGCCGCCTGCGCGCACCGGTCTCGCAATGTCGCGTGCCAGACACGAAGCGTACCGGCACCGGCAAAATATTCTCGCCGACAATTAAGGCGATTAGTGTCCCCAATGGCCTTGAGTGTTTGGGCGGGTCTTAGCGCGCTGCACTTTCCCGAACATATTGTCATGACCTCTGAATGAACTCATTTTTAAGTCAGTAAAAAATTGTTAAAACTGGAAGAAATAATTAGAAAATATATAATAATAGGTATTATAACTACCAGTAAGTTTAACTGTCAGTTTGATTTACTGTCAGTAAGGTTAACTGTCAGTTAGATTAACTGTCAGTTTGATTAACGGCTAGTAAGACTAACTGTCAGTTAATTTAACTGCCAGTAAGTTAACCTGTCAGTTAGTTTAACTGTCAGTTTGATTAACGGCTAGTAAGATTAACTGTCAGTTAATTTACCTGTCAGTTAGTATAACCTCCAGTTAGTTTAACTGTCAGTAAGTTTAACTGTTAGTTTGATAAACTGCTAGATAGTTTAACTGTTAGTTTGATTAACTGATAGTTACTTTAACAGGCGTGTCTACTTTGAATTTCTTCGTCGCCTATCTTCTGTGTTTCTTTTAATGTCTCTTCTCTTCTCTTTCATCCATCAAATTATATATTAATTACTAGCGGCTCATCCTCGCTTCTCTCGGATTTCTAGGCAATCAAAAACAAATCTATCCCACGTACATTTACATTTTTCCGGGATAAAAAGTAGCCTATTTGTTATTCTGATGTATGAACGAATTAGGGCTGTTGATAAAATATCGATATATCGAACTATCGATATTATCTTTTAGAAATATCGATATTTATTACTAATATTTTTTTGGACGATATATCGATAGTTCGATATTGAAATGTAGATATCGATGGTCGATATTTTTTTACATATGGACATGGTTGCTACTTCGCAGTTAACTATTATTGCGCGATTTAGTTACTTACGATAGATACGACGATGATTACGATAGATTTAGTACTTAGTCCATTTAAAATAGTAACAGAAGATTTGAGTGCCGAGAAATATGTCACAGCTAGTTTAGTTATACGACTAAAAAATTAATTAAAACAAAAAATCGAACAAACTAAGCCATCAACTGCTATTGGAGTGTCAGTACAAAATGATTTATTGAATGGTATTCAAAGTAGATTAGTGCCTTTACAAGAAAACCTTTTTTGGCCAAAGCAACTATCTTAGATCCTCGCTTCAAAAAATTACATTTCATGTCGGCATTAGCTGTTGCTAATGCAATCAGATCTATCAAAAGAAATAATTGCAGAACACAAAATAAGAGGAAATCGTTCACCTACAGTAGGTGCTTCTCCACGTGGAGAAAAGGAAACAACTTCACTCTTATGGGATAGACATAAGGATATGCTCTTGAAAAATATGGCCCATGCCAATGAAGTTTCTGGTAGAAGTTTTGGTACCTGCTGAATTGAAGCAGTATTTAGATCAGCCAAATATTTCAAGGTCATCAAATGCGCTAAAATTTTGGATCGATAGAAGGCATTTTACTCCCGTGCTATCAGAAATAGCTGTTAAATATTTAATTTCTTCTGCTATATCTGTAGCATCTGAACGAGCTGCTTTTACAATCAATCTGTTCATGCCTAATAATCGTAGTAGTCAAACAGCTGAACATATAAAACAAAAAGTATTTTTAAAAACTCTTACTGAAAAATATTGGTACACATGATTGTCTCACTTAAATTAAACAATAATTACTAAGAACTATATCCTAACACTTTTATACATTTATAATTTAATTTGTTTAATAAATATACTGAACTATAAACTGTGTAATCATTTTTGACCTGCCTTACAAATTTTTTTTAAATAAAGCCGATATATCGAAATATCGATATTTTTTTTCGATATATCAAGCTTCGATATTGATATATTTAAAAATATCGATGTATCGAAAATCTGATATTTTAAAAAATATCAACAGTCCTAGAACGAATACAGTTTCATTAAAATCGAATCAGTAGTTTTTTTGTACTAAGCTGTATAAGTTACTATAGATTTTTAACTACCCCACGGGAACTCTTTAATTTTGCCAAATTTCGTGAAAATCGGTTTAGCCGTTTATTTTACGCGTGATTTACAAACATACTTACAATCATTCACGTACTTTAGACTATTAGTAGGATTATAATTAATTATATTATAATATAGTACGATAATTCTAGCATTGCATCTCTTTGACTCTTTTCGGATTGTATCGCTCGTAGGCAGTAAATTATGCCGCGCACCTATGTGGCGTATTCTTTGATCGGTGTTCTAGTATAATAGTGCGTGGATTGTTTAATGTTTGCGTGCGGGGTGCGCGGTTGCAGCGCACTAAGACTCGCCCAAACACTCAAGGCCATTGGGGACACTAATTGCCTTAAAGCGGGCTTGACGCGTGTTTAAGTCGCGTACGATCTTGGTAATCGGGTTGTCGGCGAAATTATAATCTATAAAGATAGACTTAAAAGGACATAATATATTTTAAGTTTATCAGCGCAGAATAAGCGCGGGCGCATTCGTGAAACGCGCGTCGACGCCGCATTAAAGTTAAACAGTCATCGTGTGCATACGCCTTAAGTATCAACAAATACCTATATGACTTAAAACCTAACATTTATCTCGTGAATGCTAATAGAAGCCCATCGATACTTTATGAACGTGATGATTTTACAAATCTTGCGTTCTTCTCAAAAATCCGAAATGATTTGCCGTAGGCACTTCGAGCTTAGGTACATTGTAAAATCTCAATATAAAATAACAAAAAAATGTTGAATAGTATAGTTAGATATTATTTAGAGATTATGCATATTTTATAATATATAATAAATATTTAATTACATAAAAATATAAATTATGTATTATACCTAAGCTTGTGTACTGGCTGAAATTATGCATAACTAGCTAGGTAAATGAAAAGAAGATTTAAAGATGTGTCAAAAAATGAAAAGATAAATTTTCTAAAAAAAATTATAATTACAATTATTACATTTACAGCTAACCTAAATCAGTTTTTTATCTATCACATCAAAAATGTTTAGTATTATGTAAAATTTACTACATTTTATTCAAAAAAAATATATAAATTAAGATGTCTTATTTATTTAGAAAAAATTTGATTAGATTCAAAAAATATTATTTCCCTCGAAAGTTATCTTGTCCATGCGGATGTCCACCAGGCGCAGGAAATGAGATCAAGCCTCCGGCGTATTGTTGTGTTACCAATGTACCCCCAAATCCATGCGTCCCTCGCTTTCATCATGGCAAGAACACTTGGAAGAAATACAAATACTTTGCACTCTTCGTGTGTTTTCCTTTAATTCTGTTTCAACTTTTTAGTGTTTGTGGACATACTCCACCGCCTAAAGGAGAATGTCGCGATTACGAGTATATGCGCTTACGATCCAAAAAATATCCCTGGAGAGATGGTGTCCAGACTTTATTTCATAATGATCGCGTAAACCACGTACCGGGTGAATGTGTTCCCCCACCACTAGATTGCGATTAAGCTATCCCTGTATTCGTGATAAGTGACAAATAAAATTAGCTTATGTTCATAAAGAAACAAACTTATCGTGACACAATATCATGTTTTGAAGCTGCTCAGAACATTTGCTTCAATTAGGGCTAGAAGAAGTATAAATAGAACCCAAGGGTTTGCCAGGAGAAGATGCGCACGCATCGCGATATGAAAGGGCGTAAGTCTACGTCGGCGCGAGGCGCGCTACGGTCGGTCTAGAGGTGGCGATCAATAGTCGCGCTGACGTCAGTGTGGTATCGCGCGCTATTGGCCCACCCGGCATTATTAAATAAACCTCCGGGGCGAGTGTCGCGCCGCGGGCACAGCACCGCAGCACGCGGCGGGCCCGCGCACCGCTTGCGCGCCGCCCGCCATGGACGACATGCCGGACCTGTCGCACCTCACGCCCGAGGAGCGCGCCATCATTGAGGGTGTCATAATGCGCCAGCGACAAGAGGAGCAGCGAGAACACGAGATTATGAGGTGTGCCCCGTCCTCCCACCCTCCCCGCTCCTACGTACCATATCTTCCTATTTAATGCACCATATGTGATAAAACAGTGAATGTGCTTTATAAATGTGTAGCATTCTGAATAATATTGTTTAACCTCCTGATGATCTCGAATTGAGGAGTACGACTAAATTAAAAGTCTAAATAAAATATCGGTTGGTGCAAAACTCGGGATATCGACGTGTACTTAGTGTCACATCTGCGCGAACTTATAATCGTGATTACGTATACACTATGAGCAAGATTAACAGCCTTATTCTTTTGTATTGATTTAGGCCATGATATACTGTGATGATAAAAAGATAATCTATCAATAACATAAAAACGTTAAATAGGTACTAATAAATAATGTTTAAAATGTAATTAAAAACAGTCTTTACATATTTAACATAAACGTTAATAATATAAAGGAGTACAAGGTTGCAACTATTGATATAATAGAATAATCTAATTATACATACGTCATACCTTTTATACTAGTCTACTTCATCTTAGTTTATCCTATTTTATGTAAATATCATTTTATAGACCATCAAAATATCGACCTTCATAATCCATTCCACTTTGGCTAACATTTGCACAAGGTACTTAGTTATTGACGTTAAGTAGGCGCTTCGCTTGCGGGAGCGTAGATGCAGTAAGATATTTTAGTGACCTACTTTTAGACCTGCATCGCCAAACTGGGCACAAAGTGTTCTTTTTTATATATTTTCATTTTTTTATTTACATATACTACGTGCATGGTATCATAATACTTCTTAAATGTGATTTCTCTCTTTGTCCCTATGTATCGATACGCAACCTATAATTTAGACACAGGTTACTCACTTACACCTGAAACAAATTAATATTAGCTTTTATATAAAAGTTGTACACAAGAAAAAATTTGTTTTTTAATTTTTTTTTTTACCCTTTTACGACAATTATATAATTTAATAATTATTAATAAACAAATAATATATTACCGACCTAACCAGATTTCAAGCCAAACAGTTCATCCTAGTATGTCAGGGTATACTAGTTAGGCTAGGTTAGGATTAGGCCGAACTGATTAAATCGTTGCAAGTAAGAAAATAAGCATGTTGGAACCCAAGTAGCAGAAAAAGTTTATTTTTAATTTTAGTTTGACTCTAAAAAAATAATTATTTCATTTGAATTTTTGTAAATATTTTCGAAGGATAATATTATCTTTAACAGTTCATAGCTTAGGTAATAAAAGAGAAGAAACTGACAAGTCCTGAATTTATTTTATCTATACATATAATAAAATTGTAACTAGTTTGAATCTATACGTCGGAAAATCTTTACACATTATAATCGATAGAGGCCGAATCTATAGTTTTTAGATTTTTTGTCTGTCTGTCTGTGACAGCATCACGCAAAAACCATTCGAGATATTTTGATGAAATTTGGTATGATGATAGCTGGTTATCCGGGTCAACATATACTTAGGATACTTTTTACTGAGGAGAAATCATCTCTGAGAAATCTATACTAAGCGTTAAAACGTAACTAGGGACGAACCCGAGCGGAGCGAGGGTGGATCGCTAGTAATTTTGTACAAGTGTTTTCTCACTTCTAATCTGAATCTATATAATCGAAGTCTGAATAAATATTGCTCATTTAATTTATTGCCACTTAATTTTAAGCATTAATTTACAAGAATAATAGGCACAAGCTTTGGGACGCGGCCTCTGGAGGAGTACATGGTATTTTTGGATAGGAGAGTTATTTTGAGGTTTTAAAGACAAAGGTACAATATTTCCAATATTTTTTGACACTTCCAATTCTTCTGTTATCGTCCGACACCTATAATTTTCGAGTCGAAACTGTCACCTTTAAAATAACATAGCACTTATGAGAAAAAAAGACTAACAAGAAGGCTAAGACGAGAGCTACGCTACGCTTTACTCCCGCCTTAGCCTTCTCAGCCTACGTTATCTAAGCCGGGCCTGACACATAATAACACTACCCACTCCTCCATAAGCTGCGTCCCACATACTAAACTGAATAATACGTCAAAATCAGTTCGGCCTAGGCCAAACTAGTTAAACCTACAGTATTTAAACCAAACTAGATCCCTACTAACCCAAACTAGAGTCCTGGGTTAAACTAGTATAAACTGTCTTAGGATGAGTCGCTTTGGCCTAGGACAAACTAGTAGAGCCTGAAATTGGATTTGGCTGATAACACATACAAGTTATGCTATAATTTAGTCTAGATAGTTTAATTCCTCAGTTTTATTGAGTAGTAGCAAAGTATCTTGATATCATTTATCTAGTATCTACTTCATGACAACAATTAATTAATCCTGAAAACATGCTGTAGTTACCTATAAAATTTCTTTATTACTTGTGGAATACTACTAAAATTTAGTTAACGGACAATTTATTTTTTAGTTTCAATTATAATTTTATTTCAATGTACATATTACTACCTAGCAAAGTCCACTAGCATAAAGTTAATAGTAGGGGAGCCCACGATGCTAAATGGGGATTTACTCGAGCGTCGTAGAGACCTATTGGGATGCAAAGCTTAGATGATAAGAAGAAAAAAATGTTATATGATATATACCTTTACATCGGTGGGGGAAGCGGCTATACATTTTTAAATATGTAAAAAAAAACTGTTGCATAGAAATCCTCGAGCGCGTCAGATATTGATAGCATCAATGCCCTACGTATTTTTAATAATGAACGTATGTTAATCTGATCGTTTGCATGATGCGGGTAATTGTATTTAAGGGTTGAAAATGAAAAAAAAAAAATTTAATCGAGTGTTAAGTGCACCAAAAAAAAGCTCTCATTCACTAATCTGACGATTTCGATGGGACGCAAACTCGCGGCCATTTTAATAATTTGCAAAAAAAAATCGCCATTTTGAAATACTCAAGCGCGTCAGATTAAGATATATATGGTTCATCTTTATGTTCTAAACGTACTGTCTCATAATCTGACGATTATCTAGAGGGATTCGCCTGATCTGACAAAAAAAATTAGAAAAACGGTTCACCTTAAAGGCCATACCTGCAACTTCCCGCTAATTCCCTTCCTGAGCGCTTAAAATTGTACTTATGACATTTTTGAGCTCAAAATATAATTTATGCTGAGTTCAAAGAAATAATATTTCTATGCATTTGAGCTCTCCCAGCTCGAAAGTCTGATAGAAGTTTCATAGAACACTATTTTTGGAATTTTCAAACCGCAATAACTTTTGAATAGATCAAGCAATTTTCACGCGGTTGACGCCATTCGACGCAGTTTTATCATTCTCATAAGTTATTTTCAGGTTTTAATTGATCGAACCAAAAATTTCGCAGTAATCCCGAAAAAACACTATTTTCGGTTTTCTTTCGTTCACGATATCTCTCGAACGAATCAACCGATTTTGACCGGATTAGCGACGATTGGCGTGGTTTTTCTAGTTTAAGGGCGGATTAGTTTTTGAAGTTAATTGATAAAGCCGGTTAAAAGTAATTCCCAAAAAACCACTTTCAAAAAAAAAAAATTCTTATTATTTATAAGATTTTTCAAAATTTCTCAAAATCTATCGGTCCGAATCGGTTCAAATTCACAGGAAATCTAATTTTGAGGGAAATCTTTAGAACGCCGTTTAGTAGATTCCGATCGGTTTAGTCGTTGAAAAGATATAAGCGAGTCACACATACACACACACATACATACATACAGACTTAGTGACAACATCATACACGGGGGTAGTCAGGGAAGCTTCCTATGACCATAAAACGTCAAGATCTGATGAAAACTCGATTTTCGAAAAACGGGGTAAAACCAATAACTTCCCGAATTTTTTTTTTAAATCATTGAACTTAATTAATTGAAAAGCTCAGGAAATAGCATGCAAATAAATAAGTGTATGCTTTTTTAGTAGAATACATGTATTTATAAAAAAATACTTAAAAAAAAGCTTAAAACAATTTAATGTTTTATAATTAATTGATTAATTAATCATCATCTTCATCCGTAGAATCATCTTCCTCTTCTGGCTCAATTTCATCCTCAGATTGCGTATCTGTAATAAAAAATTATTAAAATATTTATCAATATTTTTTTTTATGAACAACGTGTTTTTTTAATTATTGAAGAAAAGAAATACGTGATTCTTGAGTATCTTCAAGAATATCAGGTGTTATGACTACATCTTCGTACGCTTTCGGCAATTGGTCACCTGCAAACCAGTTCATTTTAAATTTCCTGTCGACAATTTTCCATCCATAGTCCGTTGGTAAAAGATCAGTAATGTGCGTGAAATAAATCATTTAATGATGATTCCATCGACAATTCGAGGTTATCATATGTTCCTCGAGACTTTCGGATAACCGGCTTGCTCCGACGATATTCCAAAATATTTACACATTTTTTAAAGTTTCTATCGTAAATTTAATTGTTTTTTGTAAGGTACTTTCACCACAAAATACACATTTCAAATTAATGTCACTCATATTAAATATTTATAAACTTTAATTCACACAAATAATATTAAAATAGCAAAAAAAGCCAAAACGTTGGAAACACGTTGTAAACAGTACGCCACGAACGAGTCTTTATGATCAGCTGTGATGGCGTCATGGCGGCAGAAACCAGAGTGGGGACGGAGTGAGAGAGTAATAGATAGAGAAAGAATGAGAGAGGAATAGACACGCGGAGAAGGAAATGTAGGCATCACGCAGCTGCACGCATTTAACTTTATCGACAAATTTTTGTTATTTCGGCTTGCGGAAATCGTCAGATTATATATTTTCCATTATTCTTGAATTATTTCCTTCAAAATAAAAAAAAAATTAGCTACGCTCGAGAATGTCGAGATGACGTTTTTTTTTACAACTTTGTTGCCCTCCCCTTTTTTTACGTCACTCTCAAATTGTCAGATTAGTGGAATATACACTTTTTAGGATGTAATTAACTCACCCTACCTTAATCTGACGCGCTCGAGAATTTCTGATGGTCAATTTT